AGATAGATAGATAGATAGATAGATAGATAGATAGATAGATAGATAGATAGATAGATAGATAGATAGATAGATAGATAGATAGATGTAGATATGTAGATATGTAGATATGTAGATGGCATGTTTATACATGTGTTACTGATATATACTTTCTTTTGAAAGCAGGCAACAGAATTTCATTTTGAATGTGGGCCAGTGTGTTCCCAGTAAAAAATGACAATAAAGGTTATCTTATCTAACATGGCATTCCTATTTAATGCCATTTTTTTAGATCAGCTCCCCCAATGCTTGTCAAGTCTAGGTGTTGTGTTCTACCATTCCCACATAATACTTCCAATTGTAACTGGATTTTGGGGGGTTTAGAGAGGAAGCACTCCAAAGCAGCAACGAATAGATTGCAAGAGCTGTGCAACATTTAGTAATGCTAAAAAGAAGTTTTGGAGTGTGCAGGATTGTGTTTCAGATTGCCAAGGAAAGCAATTTTGTCAAGCAAGCTCTGTTGTTGTTCTGCCTCTGCTTCTGTTTTGTGTCTGATGTAATAATTGCAGCCTTTTTTTTCAAACATGATTACTTTAGAGCAGTGATGGCTAACCTTTCCAAGTGCTCTGAGCGCAGATATGTGCGTGCATCTCCAAAATGCAATGCACGCGCACTCTGCACATACACCTCACCCCCATATGCGTGTCCCACACATGCACATGTGACCCCTGCGTGTGCGAAGCAGAGACCCAAGGACCAGCTGGCTGGCGGGAGGTGTGCATGAGCATGCACAGCGGAGCTGAGCTGGGGCAATGGCTCGCGTGCCCAGAGAGAGGGCTCTGCGTGCCACCTCTGGCACGTGGGCCATAGGTTCACCATCACTACTTTAGAGGCATATATATGATCATTTGGATGTACGGGCATCCCTCGACTTACAAGCACCATTGAGCCCAAAATTCCCGTTGCTAAGCAAGACAGTTGTGAAGTGAATCACTGCAGTTGTTAAGTTGGTAACATGGTTGTAAAATGAATCTGGCTAATCCATGGATGTTGCTTGTCAGAAGGTTGCAAAAGGTGATCCCATGGGATCCTGCGATGATCGTAAGTGTGAAAAAAAAGTCATGTCAGTTTTTCCAGTGCTGTTGATCAGTAAACAAAAGGTTGTAAGTCAAGGACTAACCTGTAATAAATGCCGCTTATACGATTGTTTAAGACAGCGGTCCCCAACCTTTGCAGCTTGGTGGCTCGATTGGTGGGGAAGAGGAGAACTGGGCTGTGCCAGTACTGGGAGGGCATGCGCAGCTCAACTCACACAAGTGGTGGGCCATGCATGCACATGCAGCTTGACTAGTTGAGCTGCATGCAGGGGTGGGATTCTACCAGTTCGCACCTATTCGCTAGAACCGGTTGTTAACACTCTAAGCAGTTCGGAGAACCAGTTGTTAGAAGAAATTACTGGCCTAATCCTGTAAGGAAGGCAGGAAGGAAACATTCTGGTGTTGCTTACAGAAACTGCCTCTCCGTTAACCCTTATTACATTCTTGGCAGGACTAGACTTCCTGTCTCAGGAACTTCTCTGGAATTTTTGTCCCCTCCTTTGCTGGTACTTTGCTTGTGTGGAGTGACCATTCAAAGTTACAATGGCACTGAAAAAAGTGACTTATGACCATTTTCCACACTTACAACTGTTGCAGCATCCCCACAGTCTTGAGAGGCCAGGCAAGGAGATGCGTGCCTCAATGTGAGTGATATTGAGTTGGCCACATCCCACCCCTGCTTCTGACTATTGCAGTGTCCCAGCAGAAACACGTGTCCACCCTGAAGCCATTTTGGAGCGTCCAATCCCAATGATGGTCATAAGTTGAGGACTGCCTGTAATTAGCAGCTTTGGGGCTTCCTTTGCTGTAAGTGTTCCTGTGCGGGAACGTAGAATAAATTTACAGAAAATAGATGGGGTTATTTGAGGTTCCACCTACTCTGCTCAGGAGAATGAACATGGCTTCTCTTCTGTAGGACCACCTACCGGGTAGCCACGCGACAGGTGCGGAAGGAGATCTTACAGGCCCATATCATTTGCTGCCCAGGATGGAAGAAACGTCACCTGGGGGACACAAAGTGCGAGGAAGGTGAGCGATCAAATCCCTGTAGAACAATTTCTGATGGACTTTCTACATGCTAAATACAATAACAGATGGTTAACAGAGGGATTTGAAGATGAGTGGAATGCTTAGTTTAACCTATTGACTGCTCTTTCTTCTTTATATCTCTATCTACCATACCTGTCAACCTATCAGCCACTCTCTCTCTCTCTCTCTCTCTCTCTCATCATCATCATCTATCTATCTATCATCTGTAGGCCTTTCTTTCTTTTCTTCTTTTCTTTTTTCTTTCTATTATCTATCTATCTATCATCTATATATCTATAGCCCTTTCTTTTCTTTCTTTTTTCTTTCTATCATCTATCTATTTATCATCTATCATCTATCTATATCATCTATCTATATCTATCTGCCTGCCTGCCTGCCTTCCTGCCTATCTATCTATTTTATCTATCATCTATCTAATCTATCTATCTATCTATCTATCTATCTATC